AGGAATACATACAAACACAATTACACACAAGTATGTATTCATTACAATATGGGCAGTAAACATCAAATCTTTTAAATTATTATACACTGAAGTTTAATAGTTTCCTTCATATAGACTGTGCCTTTCTTATTTATGCCTAGATCTTTTCTTTCTTTGAACATGTAAACCTCTTGGCAATATTATCCTGGACATAAGGGAGGAATTTTATATTGTTAAAATATATTTACCAATAAATAAAGATTTTCACTGTGTACTATTCAGTAAAGAGTCACAAAGCATCATGTCCTTTATAAAAATGTCAAAGTTTGCACTTAAAGTTAACTCTGAGAGGAGGGGGTGTTCTTTTGGATTATATTTCTTTTTATAATTTTTCCATTTTGTTTAACGTTTGTGTAATTTTCCCAAAGAAACGTATTTTGGAATCCAAGAGAAATTTTGATGATCATGGATATGACATTTTTTAATTATTGGCCTCTGTTTTCAGCTTTTCTTAAATATTTTCTGATCATAAATGATATGGATATATTTGTGATATACATTTGTTTCTGGTAGTTTTATGTCAGTATAGACCCAGGCTGTGATTAAAGCCCACTTCTAAGCCCTGTCCTTAGAGATTGTTAAAAACAGCACCTCCAGGGAGAAGAGATTGTTTTGGGCAGCTCTAAACAAGGGGCCATAGAGCCTAATGGGCACTGAGTCTAGACCTGTTAATATGGCATCTGATGACACAGGGAAGGGAAGGCACTGCCCACGGCTCTGTGCATGTGCACCTCCCGAGGGGGCTGATGCCTGAGGCTCCAGCTCTTATCCTTTGGAGACCTGGTTCTAGACAGAGAACTGGAAAGGAAGTTTGTGCCCGTTTGGGTTCTGTGGAATTTGGTAGTCAGAGAGAAAAAGACTTGTAATTGGATTGCAGTGGGTGGGGTTCAAGATTTCTCCAAATGCTTCTCAAGTGGATGTATTAATGTGTGTAGTTTTGAGCCTTCTGGGGACTTGCCTTCAAAGAAAGGCTTTTGAGGATAGGCTGTGCCAAATGTCTGCTGTTTTCAAGGTGGAGGGAAGGGTGTGGGGAGAGGAGGAGGAATGGCATGGTGCAGAAGATGAGCTGGGATCGCCTTTGTCACTTTCTTTTGAGGAAACCTCCCTATATGCAGTGAACTCTATGGGCCTTGACTTCAGGTTTCTTCCTCAGCTGCATATGGCAGAGAATGAGGCCCATGAATGTGACTGAGGAGGATTGTTACAGGCTGTCTGATAGGAGCTGGGCTCTGGGGTGTCAGTGGTCTGTAGTGAAACACTGTTGAAGAGTGTGAACTTGGAGTCAGTCTGGTCTGCATATGTGGCCGGGATCTAGCACACAACACATTTTTGAGTCTAGATGGGTGACTTGACCACTGATATCCTTGGTTTCTCCCTCACTAAAAAGTGAATGACAGTAGATATGAGTCACACAGTTTTGTAGCTGATTAGGAGTTATCTGAAAATGAAACACAAAACTCTGTTGGAGAGTGATGTCACCAAGATGGTGTAGCGGGAGATCCTGCTGTCCCCATTTAAGATCAACATTAAGACACGTATCCATGAACAAAAGCAGCCCTGGGAGAGCTCAGGGGTCCACTTCACAAACTTTAGTAACAGTGGAACAAGAACCCTGAGAATAACTTCAAAAAGAGAAGGAGGACAGCTTCATTCTGCCCTCATCCCGCCCGCCCTGGCTGGCACTACTCAGTGACAAGAGGGAACTCTCAAGCACAAGGGGTTGCTGGGAAAGGAAGAGCCAAGTGAACACCCGGGTTTCTGAGCGCTTTCAGGGCATCAGGAAGGACGTGCTTTGGTTCTGCCCCACCCAGAGACTCAAAGCCAAGGCCTATGCAGGTGGTTAGGAACAAGGCCGAGCAGGAGCCACCACTGTCAATACACTGCGTTGGCATCCACAGTTCTCGGCTACCTGCCCTGCACAGGACCCCGGCAGCTTTACTCACTGAAGAACCCAGCGGCCGCTCAGTAGAGTACTGACTTGAAAGCTTCCCATATCTTTGTTTTGCCTTGTCCATACACATCTGAACATCTGGGAATCTGCCAGGTGATGGTAGACCAGGCATAGTTCCCCCAGGTGACCAGTCTTCTCATTTCTGCTTGATCAGAGTGCTCTTGCTGGACCAGCTCCTCAGCTCGCCGTAGGCACTCCAGGACGGCCTCGGTGTGACCATTTAAGTGTTTTATGTAGGCCAAAAAGTTGTACTTTGTAGTTTGAACTCCATGTTTATGAATTCAATCTGGTTACACACTCTATCTTCTAGATCACACGAGACACTGTCTTTTTTAAGTAAGTTCCACGTGAAATGGCATTTCAGCTGTGGGAGGATTTTCTCCAGAGAATTCTTGTTGACCTCACTGTGGAGAAAACAGACAAGGTCACTCTGATGTGCACCTGCCAGGCACCACATCCTGGGACACAGTTACGGGTGAATTTTGTGTGTCAACATGTCTGAGCTATGGGGGGCTCAGACATCTAGTCAAACATCAGTTCTGGCTGTAGCTGGAAGGGTGTTCCCAGGACAGATCAGCATCTGGCTCAGGAGGCTGGGGTAAAGCAGACTGTCTTCCCCAGTGTTGGATGGCACCATTGGTCTGGTGAGGGCCTGAGTACAGGCAGAAGGGGTGTGAATTCCATCTGCCTGCCTGTGTGAGCTGGACATGGGTCTTCTCTTCCCCTTAGACTGGGGCCTGTACCATCTGCCTTCCTCGTTCTCAGGCCCTCAGACTTGGACCTGAGCCTATGGCATTTCCCTCCATCTCTCCTGGGTCTGCAGCTTGTGGACAGTGGCCCGTGATTATGGTCCTCAGCCTCTGTAATCACGTGAGCTGGTTCTTGAAGGTTCTAATATCTAGTGAATTTTAACATCATTTAATAGACTTTAATATTTAAATACAGATGCTTACTGCTATTTTGATATCATAATTGTATTTAATTGCATGTATAGTCCCTACTTGGGAACATAAACTTAATTACAGCATTATTCCCAGTGAGAGAAAATGACTTGCTGCAAAATATTTGATGCAAAATATGACAGATGCTTCTTCTGACAGGTTAGGACTTCAGTCCTGGATTTCTGAAATACTTGAGTAAAGATTCTTCCCTTCCCTGTTCTTCCTTCTTGAAAAAACATTTGAAATGAGCAAAATAAAAACAGAAACTTAAGTAAAACAAACATTTAAAAAATTTAATTTGCGGAACACACTGCAATATGGATGCATTTTGGAATATGCATTGAAAAACTATCAGAAGGATGCATATTCAATTGTTAACAGGTTACCATGGGGGTGTGGAACTGGGTTAGGGTGAGTGAAATGCTCTTACTTTTAAATTCATATGCTTCTGTTTATTTGAAATTGTACAGTGAGAATTCACCACTTTTACAATAATCAAACAGATCAGAACCATAACAGAGATTTTAATTAAAAAAATAAAAATAATAACAATAAGTAGAAAATACACAAACTCATACATAGCAGTCTTAAGGCAGAGTGGCAGTATGGAGAATCAAATCACATGGCACACTTTTCCATTAACACTGTGGTGGTAGGTACAATTGTGCATGATCATCAAAGAAACAACATAAGAGAAGTCACTTTCAGCGACATCCCAATGTAAAAAGCGTCCCCGGGGTCAGAGCCCTTGAGCAGTGGACCCTTCAAGGAGGATATTCAAATGGAAAGGAGGGCTTCACTACTCCTAGAGGATCTACGGGAAAACATGTCAATCTGAAAACTTCAGGCAAAAGAAAGAGCCACACAGAAGTACCTTTGGAATACTGAAACAGTTAACCACAGACCAGAAATTGGGGGTACAAGAACCACCCAGTCCAGACCCAAAACTAAATCACTGAAACTTGGTAATATGTGGATGTAGAATGGGGACATCTGGTTTATCCATTTATTTATCATTTCTCCTAATTTCTCAGTCTGCTTTCTGTCTCAATATTAACCTACAAATTCTGCAGTTTTAGTTGGAATAAAATTAATTCCATTTAGATTAGGTTTCCTTTCTAGTTAAAAGACTGGAGAAACTTGAGACTAATGATTTTCCATTGTTCATTTCTTTCCTCACAACTATTTCTAATTATGTAATGAACATTCTGAGAGAGAATACTTAGGATTTCTCTTGGGTCCCTAAAGTCCTGTATTTAAAGAAATCTTTTTTTCCCTGTTATACTTTTTTCTCCTTTCATTGAAGTCATTAGAGACAGCAGAGTTAAGAACTTACTCTATTAACAAAAAGGATTCTTTAAGTGACTAGCAGGTTAACAGTTAAATACCTTATCAGAGTCAGACTGGATAGGATCCATCTTTGACAAGCTACACAGTTAAGAGCTTAACTAATAAAATTTTGCATTTTGCTGAAAGTGCATTCTTGACCTAGGGGTCAAGGGCTTATGCAGGATTATGCTCTCTGCATAAGTAAGCAATATGTGAAATTTGACAAAAATTAATCAGAAAATTATTACAAATAGAGATCGAGGGTATAAAGTCATAATAGTCATACCAGTTTTGAAAGGTAACAACATCTGGAATGTCTGTTGCCAAATGGATTATACTATTTTAATTAGAAAAAAAAACAGTGAAAGATTCATATTTAGCATTATGCCTGCTACACAGTAAACATTCAGTAAATATCGGCTCTACAATTAAAAACAGATTAAAACAATGAACAAAAATATATGAACCCACAATGAGGAGAAAAGCTTCAAAGTAATTTCCTAGAGTGTGTATTAAAAAAAATTTTTTTAATGTTTATTTATTCTCAAGAGAGAGACCGAACACAAGTGAGGGGGTAGGGGCAGAGACAGAGGGAGACTCAGAATCCACACAGGCTCCAGGCTCTGAGCTGACAGAGCCTGACACAGGGCTGGAACTCCAACAAAACAGTGAGATCATGACCTGAGCTGAAGTTGAATGCTTAGCCCACTGAGCCACCAGGCACCCCCTAGGGTGCATATTTAAATAGAAAGTTGAAGCTCACAGAGAGCAGCAAGGGACTCTGCATTTTCTGGATCCATCCTCTGGGCCTGAGCGTAGTACTCAGCAGCTTGCCTCTTTTCTCCCTCTAGCTTGTAAACAAACCCCAGGGCATGTAAACTCTGCACGTCTGAAGCATCCTGACTGAGTCTCTTGACAGCCAGTCTCTTCAGAGCACTTGTTAGTTTGGTACGGAGCGATGACCGGTCTCTAACTTTCAAGGCCTCTAAATAATGGTGGATGGCAGTACTTTCTGATTTACAGTGAAACTCCTGAAAGCGGCCATAATAATAGTGGATCTGATGTCTGTGATCATCAGTTATGTTCTCCCGATGAAGGACTCTCTGGAAAACCTCTTCAGCATCGCTACACTGGCCTCCCTCAGCATACATGTTGGCCAGGTCCGTGTAGGCAAACACAAACGTGGAGTCTCGTTCCACAGCTGCTTTGAAGTGAGACAAAGCCATTGCAATAAGCCTATCTACTCTCAGTTTATCCTCCTCTTTAGGCCTGTTGCACATGCCCTTCTTGATCTGGATCATTTGTCCCCTATAGCAGAGTCCCATCTGGTGATGTAGGAACGAGGACCTAGGCGTCACCTTCAAGCCCTTTTGCAAAAGTCCAAGAGCTTTGTCCCAGGATTTTTTTCTCCTGTAGAATTTGGCTGCATAACGAAGGATGTAAGGTTGGGAGGATATCTGGTTCAGGATTTCTTCAATATACCTTTCCCCTTCAGCTTCGGCATGTACATCTTGAAGCTTCAGTGCCAGTAAAACCTTAATGTAGGCATTATCAGGGTTCAGGGTGACAGCCTTCCTCAGCGGGCCCAGAGACAAGCTCCTTGTAGGCCCTTCTCTGTCACAGTCATCCAGCCGATACACTGTGATGGCATAACCAATGCTGAATTCTGGATTGTCAGGCTGCGCTTCCAGAGCCTTCTCAAAAGCCACTTTAGCCTTCTGGTAATACTTTCCTCCAAATTTCAAGAATGCCCACCCTTTTTCACATTCAATCTCAGGACTCTCCAACTTGTAGTCAGAAGGACTGGACAGTTTCTTGCAGACGGCCCCTATCTTGTCTAAATGCCTCTGAGCCTCCTTTAACTGGTCCATGTGATAATACACCCAGGCATAGTTTCCCCAAGTGACCAGACACCGTATTTCTTCTTTGTCCTGGTGTTCTCTCTGGATCATGTCTTCTGCTTGTTCCAAGTATGCCAGAGCATCTTTATTTTGCCCTTTTAGGTGTTTCACGTAGGCCAATTGGTTGTAAAGAGTGAGTCTGGGTTCTGTGGTGAGAAACTCCAGCTGCTGCTCAATTGTATCATCCACATCAAACAGAATGTCTTCCTTAAGCAAATTCCATGTAAAGTGACATTCCAACTCCAACAGAATGGCCTTCAGGGGGTCCTTAGAAATTTCACTGTCAAAGATAAAGTTGTTTTTACATTTTTGAAGAACTGAATCATTCTTTAAACCTCCACACTGTTCTCTGCTTAGCAATCAAACTGATCTACTGGAATTTACAGTTAAAGCACTGGTCCCCTGTAATGTTATATTAGTTTCCTCTGGGTACAGATACATTCTAGAAATATTTCATTAAATTCTCATTATTGCAAAGCCAGTTCTGAAAGAGCAGGGTTTTCTACATCATAGGGTATCGATTTCCTTTTGGTAGTCACTAGCCCCCAGGTACCACCTATTTTTCTTTTAACTTTGTTTTTGAGAGAGACCACGAGCCAGGGAGAGGGAGAGAGAGGGGAGAGAAAGAATCCCTAGCAGGCTCCACACTCTCAGTGCAGAGCCTGACGCGGGATTCAAACTCATGACCTGAGCTGAAATTAAGAGTTGGATACTTAACTAATGGAGCCATCTAGACGTCAGTACTGGGCATATTTTTACAGAGAGGAATTTATTATGATGATTATGATTTTTTAAAAAATGTTTGTTTATTTTGGAGAGAGCATAAGTGGGGGAGGGACAGAGAGAGAGAGAGACAGAGGATCTGAAGCAGGCTCTGCCCTGATAGCAGTGAGCCTGACTCGGGGCCCAAACTCACAAATCTAAGCTGAAGTTGGACACTCAATCAGCTGAGCCACTCAGGTGTTCCTAGAGAGACGAATTTAGGGGCACTTGGGTGGCTCAAGTCAGTTAAGCATGTGACTTTCACTCAGGTCATGATCTCACAGGTGGTGAGTTCGAGTCCCACATTGGGCTCTGTGCTGACAGCTCAGAGCCTAGAACCTGCTTCAGAGTCTGTGTCTTCTTCTCTCTCTGGCCCTCCCCAGCTGGTGTTCTTTCTCTCTCAATAATAAATAAATAAACTTAAATATATAATATCATATAATTAATATTAATAAAATTAATATAATATATACAAATATATTAATTGATACAATGCATATAACTCACAATTAATATAAGTATACTATTATTATTAATTGTATTATATTACTATAATTCTTATAATTATATATAAAGTTTATATATAATTTCATTGAAATGGGAGTTTGCTAGAACTAGGTCTCTTCCTTGTAAAAAGGTTAAGCTGGTAGAATATAAGCTTGGATTTACTAGTGGACATCTTTCCAGACTTGGGAACACCTGGCTCATGACAATGACTAAATAGTCTTGCCTGGATCACCCTGTCTACCCTTGAACTTCTATTTACTTAAAGATATAGCTCTCTCTTTGTTTAATCTGGTTTGAATTAGGTTTCCACTGTCTGCAACTGACAAAATCCTGAGTAATATTCCTAGTTTTATTTGTTTGTTTTGCTGATGGTGGCAGTGAGATAGGAAAGACATTCTAAATCTACTACTGGCTATAATTAAGAAATTTACAGAAAAACATTCCTTAAAGCTTCTCTCAGAGAAGTGCCCTGCTTACGTGTGTGAGTAGTTCTGTTTCTATTGCACACGAGACCCCCACCCCCTTGTATATACAATATAAATCTATTTGTATCAATGTTTATGGGAACTACAGTAATATTTCCATCAAAACATTTATTGACCACTCACTCCTGTCACACATGCCAGGCAATAGTTGTAGTGGACATAGCGGTGAGCAAGTAAGTCAGAAAAAGGCCCTTTCTTCATGAAATTTTGAAAATTTTGAAATTTTCTTTCAAAAGGAGTTGAAAGAAAAGAGACACAGATAAACAAGTTGGTATGGACACAATGGACAGTGTAACTCCAGACAGTGATAAGTCTTAAAAAATAATCAGAGTAATGGCATAAAGAAGGTGGTGGTGGTGTGTGTGGGGGGAGGGAAATACTTTAGTTATGATTGTGAAGAAATAGCCCTTGTAAAAAGGGGCAATTGAAATAATCAGGTCCCAACAGTGGAGCAGAGGCAGTCATAGAAGATCTGAGGGCAGAATGGTCTAAGCCACTGCTTCTGAACCAGGGTGGTTTTGCCCCCCCCCCCCCGGAGACATTTCATAATGCCTGGACACAATTTGGTTGTCACACTGGAGGGGTCAAGGCCAGGGATGCTACTAACCATCCTGCAGTACACAGGGAGGCCCCAGTCACCGTGAGGCATCCAGCCCAAAATGTCAATCATGCTGAGGTTGAGAAACCCTGGTTTGGGCTGAGGGACCAGTAAGTGCTGATATGGGGACAGACTTGGAGTGTCCCGGGGACAGAAGGAAGAAGGGGAAGAGTGGAAGGTGAGGCATGGTAGTAGCAGGAACAGAAGGTGCAGGCTTGCGGTCCATGACAAGGAATATTAATTTTACAATTGTAATGGGAAACCACTACAGGGAGATTTTTAAGTAGGAAAATGATGTTTGAATCAGGCCTCAAAGGTATCCCTGTGGAGACGCCTGGGTAGCTGAGTCTGTTGAGCATCCAACTCTTGATCTAAGCTCAGGTCTTGCTCTCAGGGTCGTGAGTTAAGGCCCTGTGTTGGGCTATTGGGCTCTGCACTGGGCATGGAGCCTCCTTTAAAAAAAAATACACACACACACACGGCAAATTATGGAAGCAGCCCAAGTGTCCATTGATAGATGAATGTATAAAGAAGATGTGGGATACATATACAATGGAATGTTACTCATCCATAAACAAGAAAGCAATCTTGCCATTTGCAGCAACATGGGTGGACCCAGAGAGTATTATGCTAAGTGAAATAAGTAAGAGAAAGACAAATACCATGTGATTTCACTCATATGTGGAATTTATGAAACAAATGAACAAGGAAAAAAGAGACCAAAAAAAAGACTTCAAGTGTTTATTTATTTTGAGAGAGAAAGAGAGAGTACATGTGTGAGTGGGGGAAGGGGAGAGACAGAAGAAGAAAGAGAATCGCAAGCAGTCTCCCCAATCAACATGAAGCTTGACGACCTCAATCCCATGACTGCAAGATCATGACCTTAGGCAATATCAAGAGCTGGACGCTCAACTGACTAAGCCACCCAGGTGCCCCCAAAAACCAGACTCTTAACTACAGAGAACAAACTGGTGATTGCCAGAGGGGAAGTGGGTGAGGGAATGGGTGAAGTAGACTAAAAAAAGGGGGATGGGGAGATAAAAGGGGAAAAAAAACCATCCATGATATTATGAAAGCCTAAGGAAGAAATGTTTATTTCAGGAAGGAGAGATGGATATTCAATATGTACAATGACTCTAAGAGGTTGAGTGATTAAGGACAGAGAAGAGATCACTGGGCTGGAGCAAAGCTGTGGGGGACCCTCACGAGCATTTTGCTGAAAAGGTAGGGATGAAAACATTACTGGTTGGGGTGGGGATAATGGGAGGTGAAATAGTGGATATGGGGAATAGAGATCACTCTTTTTTTTTTTTTAATATTTTTATTTATTTCTAGGAGAGAGAGAGAGAGAGAGACAGCGTGAGCAGGGGAGGGTCAGAGAGAGAGGGAGACACAGACTCTGAAATAGGCTCCAGGCTCTGAGCTGGCAGTCAGCACAGAGCCCGACGCGGGGCTCGAACCCACGAACCGCAAGATCACGACCTGAGCGAAAGTCGTACTCTTAACCGACTAAGCCACCCAGGCGCCCCTAGAGATCACTCTTTTCAAGGAGTTTTACTATTAAGGAAATAGACAAATAGAGCTACATCTGGAGGAGGGTTGGGGTAACTGTCAAAAACAGTTTTAATCATGACATTTTTACTGACTTAATGATATGCCAGTGGGAATAATCCAGTATCAAGGGAGAAAGTGATGCTCGCAGGAGAGAGGTGGGGATAACTGCGAGAAAGTTGGAACATGAAACAGAAGTGAAGCTACACATGGTTAAAACTCACATCTTTATCTCCATCCCTTTCCTCATCTGTCCTGTGTCTACACAGGACAGTCTGTAGCCTCATTTTGTATGATCTCCTCTCCTTCATTGCCCTCCAGTCATATTGGCCTTTAAAAAAAAAAAAAAAAAAAACGTTCATTTCCTCTGCCAAGTCTGTATCCTCAGTGCATTTGCACCTGCTTTTTACACCTTCAGTCTGGGAACACTTCCTAAGAGAGGTCTAGGGATTACTCACTCTCAAAATTCTGGTCTCACATTCTAGTCAAATGTGAGGTCTTCAAAGAGGCGTACATCTGACCACTCTAGCTAGCACTGTACCCCCGCCTTGCCAGTCACCCCACAGTCTAGTATATCTCATTTTCCTGTTCTGCATAGCAGAAGAGTGCTTTGAATCAAATAAGAGACTGAGGCTTTACAGTGAATCGACAGAGTCTTTAGGAACTGCGAAGTGGCTGCCTTAATGCCCGAAAGTGACAGAGGAGTTAAGAGAACTGGATTCCTGGTACAACTAGTAGTAGCAATTGGACAAATAAAACCATTTCATATTTACAACCAAACTTCTGTGAAGTTTTCCAACTTTTATAGAAACTAAATTTAATCCTTAATGACTTAATATTATCTTTAATACACAATTAAGTTAATCTGAGATCACTTTTCATTTTTTTCGTGTTTAGTCTCACTCTCTGTGCACATACATACACACCAATATACAGGTTCCACACTTTGATGACTATAGGTTCTAGAGCAGAGCTTGCCACAGAAACTTGAAAACAGGTTTTGGACTGTCTTCTACAGTACTGACTGGGAAACCTGTAGTTGTTCCTTTCTCTGCTGCCACGTCACCAAAATATGGGCAAGACCTCCCCTCAACAGCCTGTCCAGACCCATGACAATCTGGGCTTACCAGCCCCCTACCCCTCCACAGAGTGAAAAGCGCATCTGCTTCTGCTCAGGAGGTTTACACCAGCCCAGCCCAGCCCAGCCCAGGGAGGCTCAGGAAGGCCGCCTCGGGTAATAGGAATGTGGCCATGGCAGTGACCTCTCAAAGGGACCTTCACTCACCACTGAAGTGCTTCGCTCAGACTCGGTGGGATTTATACACAACTGGATGCCATGATAAGTTTTACTTTTAAACTCCGTCTACTTAACTTTTAAACGTTGTCTCTGGGAAGCCGGCAGAGAGAGGCTCTTGTTTCTGAAGAGGTGACATTTATCTTTAGGCAATTTTGAGTTTTAGCCAGGAAGGAGCAGTCTTTCATTGTCCCCAGTGGGGTCCTCTCCTCTTCCACACACAGTGCACCCCCTTTCCCTTCTTGTTTCTTCAGGCACCCTCCCGAACTCCCTCCCTTCTTACACTTTTTGGAAGTGGGGCGCTTATTTAATTTCCTTTTTTACTTCACAGAATAGTAATCAGCAGTTGCAAAAATCTGCATGCTAAGCAGTCTGTTTTCTGCTTACTCTTTCCACGGTCCTAAGATTTGGGTGCCATTAAGTTTTATGGATAAGAAACGGACTCAGAGTTTACGAAATGCTGCTTTGGGTCATCCAACGAGGAGGTGTTCAGAGTCAGGACTTCGAACAAGGTTTTAGCCTCTCCTCCCTTGACTCATTAGATGCGGACCGTTCACCAATCCGGCGCAGGGCAGGCTGCTGGCGCCTGGGGATCCAAACCCGGCGAGAAGCACCCTGCCCCGCACCGTAAGTTGGGAAAGGAGACAACCTCGGGCATCCGCACAAAATAGCCCACTGGACGGATCGACAGGAGTCGGTAGCTCCCGGGAAGGGAAGAACTCAGACCCCGAAGTCAGAAAGGCACCTGACCCGGTGACGAGCCGCGTCCGACCCAGCCGACTGGCAGCCCCAGTCCCGGGACAGGAAGGGAGGGCGCGCCGAGGGCAGCGCGGGAGGGGACGGGGCTCGCGGGGGCGCCCTAAACCCGACGCCCGCTGCGGGGCGCCGGGGGCTCAGCCCCTGGAAGGGCCGCGGCGCTGCACGGGCCACGGAGTGGAGTCCAAGACCTACGCTGAGTTTGGGAGCGGAAACGGAGAAAACCCTCACCTCATGGTGGTTGCGGACCGTCCTGGGAGGCGGCAGTACCCTCGGGCTTTCAGCTCTGGAACTGTAGCCCCGGCTGCGGAGCGCGCGCGGGCGCGCGGGGGCGCGAACAGGCGCGGGAGTGAGGGCGCGCAGTGAGCGCGGGCGTGTGCGCGGGCGTGCAGGCGGGAGGACGCGAAGGGAGCGCGGGCGCGTGCAGGCGGGCGAGCGCGGAGTGCGCGCTGGCGTGAGCGCGGACGTGCGGGACTGCGGGCGGGAGGGCGCGGAATGAGTGCGCGCGTGCAGGCGGGCGGGCGCGGAGGAGCGGTGACTTGTGCGCGGACGCGCGGGCGTGCAGGCCTAGGGGCGCGGAGTGCGCTTCCCTCCCGGCGTCCGCTCTGCGCTCTCCAAGGTTAGGTGTTGGCTTTTGTAAAGGCGGCACCGGATCGGGAAAAGGAAGTAGACGGTGACTCAGCTTCCCGACCAAGCGGAGTCCAACTTCAAGAAACGGAAATCTTCTGCAAGACCTGAGGAAGCTTCCTCTCCTCCGGGAGAGGTTTGTTAAGCTCGGGGTGGTGCAGGGTGGAATTTGCAGCGGGGCCTTCCGACTGAAAAAAGTGACAGGAGAGTGTTCCGCGTTATTTCTATTGTAAGGGTGGCAGCGATGCTCTTTTCCATCTTTATGCACTGAGTGGAAAGAAGTCTTCTGCTTCCCGTCTTGATTCAACAAACAACACAGGTGCGCTATTGTGCACCTGTTACTCCCATTGGGTAAAGTTAGAGAAACTTAGGAGTCAAAATGCATATACATTTTAAAATTTGATAGCTTAATCGCTTTGCGGAGAGATTTATACAACCTTACCGGGAGTTGTAGGACAGTGCTTGCCTTCGGGTGCCCTTGCCAGCCGTGCTTCGCCTAAGAACTTCTAATAAAGATAAAGGTGGTGTTGGGAATCTAAACCAAAAATGCCAAATGCCCATACACTAAAATTTTTGTCCCCCTTTGACTTCAGTCATACATTCATGGATTCAGCAAACTGCACTGAACAACTGCTAAGAGGCAGACATTGTACAAGACACAGTCAATGCAGCATTGAAAAAAACCATACAAGGGATCTCCCTTCATGGACTTCATTCCTAGTGTGGGAGAATGATAATGAAGAGCAAATAAAGCATTGTTTGTGAGACGGTGCTATGGAGAAAAAACATGGAGAGGGTTATAGTGCAGCGTGTTTTGCCGTTATAAATACGGTGGGGAGGAAAGATTGCACTGAGTAAGTAACATTTGAGTAAAGATCTGAAGCGGGTGAAGGAGTGAATGGTTATGGGGCCAGGGAGGAATGGTCCAGGCAGGGGAAGCAGTAGGTGCAAACCCCGGGGAGGTGGGATCATACTTGCCAGAAATGGATGGGTGGCTGGAGCGGCAAGGGGAGCTAGGGATCATAAGACATGAGATCAGGCCTGAAGGCTGCTGTAGAGTTTAACTTAAGCAGGAAGCTTCATTTTATTTTTTAAAATTTAATTAATTAAGTCTTTTAGAGAGAGAGAGAGAGTGAGAGCGAGCAGGGGAGGGACGGAGTGAGAGAATCCCAAGCAGGCTCGGCGCTGTTAGCATGGAGAATGATGCAGAGCTTGATCTCGTGAACCCTGAAATCATGACCTGAGCCGAAATCAAGAGTCTGACGCTTAAACGACTGAGCCACCGATACCCTTTATTTTATTTTTAAAAAATGTTCATTTATTTTGAGAGAAAGAGTGAGAGAGGCATAGAGAGAATCCCCAGCAGGCTCCGCGCCGACAGTGCTGAGCCCAACATGGGGCTAAATCCCATAAACAGTGAGATCATGATCTGAGCCAAGACTGAGAGTGAGGCAGTCAACTGACTGAGCCATCCAGGTGCCTCAAGGAAGCCGCACTTTAGAAAAGGTACTGAGCAGTTTGTTATGGGTAGAAAAATAAAGCCAGATTGCCCTCCTTACAAAGGATGCAGAAAAATTTAATAGCGCTCCAGTGTTTGAAAAATTTTTCAGTGTGTTGATTATGTTTTCCTCCTTGTTCCTGCTTCTCTCCCTTCCTTAACTGTATATGGGCCAAAAGGTCACCTTTGCTTACCATGCTTTTTAAGATGGATAGCAACTAAGCAACCAGAAGTGAACATTAAAGGGAAAAGAAAATCCTGCCTATCTACTTATATTGCTTAGGAATTCAAATTCAGAAAGGCAAAAACCAGCTGTGAAAATTTTAGAGGAATATACATTTTCATGATTGAGAAGAAACAAATGCCTGGCTGTTGAGCAGGTGCTGAACATGCCAAAATTACTAGATGAAATTTGAATATTGATCTTTTTTCACAGACTGTTGGATTGGGTGGATTCTTGGTAAAATCAGTAGTGCATTGTCTTTTGAATGTCCCCTAGTCAACATGCAGAACACAGTAACTAGCAACAAAGGGAACAACAAACAACAAGGGGAACAACAAAGGGAACAACAAGCGACAAAGGGAACAACAACAAAGGGAAACAGAAAGTGAAACATGGCAATTGATCTAAAATCTTCTCGGGAAACTGAAAGCTAAGTAATAATGTTTTTAAGAAATACACATAAGCCAGTTTCTCAACCTTGATGCTATTGAGCAACTTTTTTCTTCTTTTTTAATTTCTCTTCTCTCAGGGGCAACATTCTCCTCTCCCCTCACACTCTCCCTCCTTGAGAAGAAGTGCTGTAAATAATACCCTCGCATATTTGTTTGACATCGTTTGAGCTAGTCCTCAGGACACAGCCTGCAAGAGAGAGGAGCTGGATTTCAGGAAGGAGAGGAAGAGTTGAGCATAGATGAGCAGTTGGGGTTGGTCCTGGAGTTCAGGAGGCGTCGCGTGTGAGAGAAGGGTGGACATCAAGGGGAATGTCAGAGAAGTATGGCTGGATCACATCTGGTCTGGCTGAGGACAAGCTTCGGACATGTGGACTCAGACTGAGGGTGGGTCATTCAAGCTGGGGCAGGCCCTGGGTAGGGACCCTTGGTCCCAATGCAGTCCCAGCACTAACAGCATCATAACAATGGAGACAACAGTGACCAGAGAGGGTCCCCAAGGAACAGGAGCTTGCAGTAGTGTGCAGATGGCAGTTAGCAAAGATTTGGCCAGGGGACACCTTGACAGTAGTGAGTGGCACGAGCTGTGGCTTGGCCTGATTTAGGGTACGTGACAGACATTCCCTAGGCAGTTGGAGAAAGTTTTGAGTGGCGGGAACTCTAAACAAGGGACACAAGCTGAGGTTCTGCCAGTCATTTCCATGGGAGGAGTAACAAGTCCTAGAAGTCAGCTTTCAATTCAGAGACTTGTTGGTAATGCCTGGAGATGGTCATGTGTAAGCTTGACCAGAGCATTTTCAATACCAAAGAGCAGCTCTTTTTCTGGATTTGCTGCCTGCTGTTTTTCTCTGCAAGCATCCAGGCTGTTCCACACATTAGAGCTCCTGAGCCCTCAGGGTGCAGACACCTCTTCCAGAGTAGGGGAGGGGAGGGAATAGAGAGATGGTGTTAGATTATAAGACACTCTGATAACCGTGATCTCTGGGGATCATCAAGCACACCTCACACAAACATACCCCATAATCCAGAGATTTATTTTGCATGAATGAGCTCTGCTCTCTGGCTGCAAATGATATATATGAATACCTGGAAAGAGCTGCCTAGTAGAGAATCACCCAATTATCCAACACGTATTTACCTTCATGTTTCTCTCTCTGGGAGAGTTCGCAGTGGTCAGACTCCTTTCAGTGCCACCTGGCCTCCTCCCCAAACTCAAGCATTGTAAGATCTCATTTTTGTTAAGTCTAATAAATCTCTTGTTTTAGTTACAAGACTAAATATGTTTAGAAGATCTCATCTGTGTAGCTCTGATGTCTAGCCTTCAATGATGAAAAGTTTACTCCTTTTGATCCCTAAAGAATTTTAGTAGAAATCCAAAGGCCTGTGCAATCTGTCTTGAGGACTTGTGTTCTTGTGGATTACAGGTCCCCACCGAGAAATGCAGGCAGCCTCTAGTAGTTGGAAAAGGTACAAAGAAGGATTGTCCCTTAGAACTTTTGGAGGTAGTGTGGCTGCTGCCAACACCTTGATTTTTGTCCAGTGACACCCATTTCTGACTTCTGACCTTCAGAACTGTAAGATCCTAAATTTTTGTGGTTTTAAGCCACCAAGTTTGCAGTAATTTGTTACAGCCACAGTAGGAAATTAAAACATCCTCCCCCAAATAAATACATGGATGACAAAAGCAGCCACACTGTTTCCTTATCTCTTCCTTTTAAAACTATTAGATGAAAAAAATGTCACATTGTTTTCTTACTTCTTCCTTTTAAAATTATTGCTTGGTGTGCAACCCCATTTTAATAAAACGTCACAGTCAAAGGTGATTGTTACTGATGGTCTCTCAGATCCTTTAGTATCCTTTTCATGTTTTTTTTTTTAAATCAATGCTAGAAAATGACTGAATAAACAGTGCTTTATATGACATAAAACAAGAGAAATTGCTTTGGAACAGTAAACATCAAACAAGTAATTGACTGTGTATTTGTTACTCACTAGATTGTAAACTGCAGAAGGCTTGGGGAAATGTCTGCTTTTTTTTACTGAAGGGTAGCAGAGTATGCCACCCCAAAATATACCACGTTGGCATCGGGATTATTTTGAACTGAGGGCAATTGAGAAGAAGCAGGAAGAGAAACACTGTGTGCACTTCCCCTATCTGACTACAAGCAGTACAGAACTTTGTAGTGGTGTCCCCTTACCCTCTCCACCAGGAAGGAGAGATGCTGATTGCCTGCGACAACTGTAGACCCTTATCAGCCCAGAGTCACTGCTGGAGAAATCTACATAACCAACCTTTTTTTTTTTTTTCAATTTTTAAAAATGTTTATTTATTTTTGAGAGAGAGAGAGAGACAGAGTCAGAGAGAGATAGAGAAACAGAGACAGAGTGCAATCAGGGGAGGGGCAGAGAGAGAGGGAGACACAGAATCTGAAGCAGGCTTCAGGCTCTGAGCTGTCAGCACAGTGCCCGATGCAGGGCTTGAACAATCAAACCACGAGATCATGACCTAAGCCCCAAAATCAGACACTCAACTGACTGAGCCACCCAGGAGCCCCCATAACAAACCTTCTTAACTAGCTCTTCTTTTCCATTAATTGCCCCAAATATTTACATTCCTACAGTTTGCCACCCTAGAAACTCAAGGTTCCTTTCCTATTTCTTATCCCTTCTCTAAAAATGCATTGTTTGTTTGTCAGGATGCTATGTAAGTCCAAGTTCTAACCACCCTTTGAGATACTCAGCACTGATAGCTCCCATGTGTATGTGCGATGCACGTTTATAAACCTATGTTTGTTTATCTGTTGTTAATCTGTCATTGTCGTCATTGTCATTCTAATATGGGGTCCTGGTAGTGTAAAAAGATTTTTTCCTCCCCTGCCTCACCATATTTGGTGTCTAACACCAAAAACTATTTGTTGATAAAAAAATGAATGAATGAAACATTTTTGTCTTCTGTAAATCCAGGCCTTTATTTGCAATGAATCTATTCAGCATGGTTTTTTGACCATATAACATTCACAGAGAAATGGTTCCTGTCTCACATAACAGAGATGTATATATTATGTTTTAGTATTTTCTGAATACAACCACTATTTTACCAGGTTTGAGTAATGGGTAAAAACGTGCATCACTACAGTGGACCGCTTAATATGTTTCTGAAAGTAGCAAGCAGAAACTATGGTTAGAGTTAACATGTTTACCCAAAATCAAATAAACTGTGAATATGGTTCATATTTCCATGCCCAGGGGACATGTGCCCAAGTTCCCAGAGTCCGCAGCCAGCTGCAGGGCCCGCTCATAGTACTCCAGCGCTTTATGCATTTCTCCTTGGACTTTGTAGATAAACCCAAGAATGCTCAAGCTTTCTATGTCTGATGCGTTTCTGGAAAGTTTTCTTAAAGTCAGTTTCTCCAAAGAATTAATACATTTATCCCTTATCAGTGACACCTTTTCTATTTTTAATGCTTTTAAATAATGGATAATTGCATTGACTTCAGATTTCTTTTGAAATTCCTGAAACTGACCATAGTGGAAATGTACCTTTTGGAGTGATTCTTCGTCGAGGGATTTCAAGGAAAACAATTTTTGGTAAATGTCTTCAGCTTTTCTGTGGTTGCCAGCTTCTATGTACATACCGGCCAGGTGTATATAAGCAATCTCAAATGTGGGCTTTTGCTCCAGAGCAAATTGAAAATGAGATATGGCTAATCTTACCATTTTGTCAACATTTTCTCTATCCTGACCCCTGGGCTGCCAGTTTGCTGCTCTCTTTATTTGGATCATTTGTGCCCTGTAACAAAGCCCGATCTGGTGATGCAGGAAAGCAGAGGAGGGCGTCGCTTGCAGGGCCTTCTTTAAGAGCTGAAGAGCTTTATCCAGAGAATTTTTCCTTCGATAAAACTTGGCCGCATATCGAAAGACGTAGGTCTGCGAGGACATGTTGGTCAGTGCTTCTTCAATGTACTTTTCTCCTTCATCTTCTTGGCCCACGTCCTGAAGCTTCAGGGCAAGCAGAGCCTTGATATAGGCATCTTCTGGATTTAGCCTGATGGCCTCTTTTAGAGGCTGCAGACAAATCGACTCGCTGACCTCTGTCGATTTGTTAAAGCCGTCCAGGCGATAGGTGGTAATCGCGTAGCCGGTGCTGAATTCAGGGTTTTCAGGGTCCACGGCCAGAGCCTTTTCGAAGCAGGCCTTGGCTCGTTCGTAGTTCTTTCCTCCACACTTCAGCAAGGCCCACCCCTCCTCGCAGTCCATCTGAGGACAATCCATCCTGTAGCAGGAGGGGGTTGCAAACTTCTTACAAGCTCTGCCCACCCTGTCCAGGTAGGTCTGGGCTTCTGCCAACCTGCCCATGTGGTAATAGAGCCAGGCGTAGTTGCCCCAGGTGACCAACCTTCTCACGTCCGACTGGTTGCCGTGCTCCTGCTCGATTAAGTCTTCAGCCTCCTTCAGGCTCCCCAGGGCTTCCTGGTTCTGGCCTTTCAGGTGTTGGACATAGGCCAGCAGGTTGTGTATTCCCACATTGTACTTGGTGTCTAGGAACTCAATCTCCTCCAAGATCCTGTTCTCTAAATCCGGCATCTCACTGTCTTCAACTAGCAGCTCCCAGGTGAAGTGGCATCTCAGCTGAACCAGCTTATCTTTGACCTCATCGGCATTCTTACTGCAAAAAACAAAAACAAATTTTCTTTGTTAAGTGAGGAATGGTCAATAGAAAGAAGCCAGATAAAACATATCCTTAGGAGTTAGCCTTGGAAAGGTCATGGCTGTTTTGATTTTCTTTGGAATCCTGACGTTTCCAAGATCTGCACAGACTTTGAATGCAGTTTTCTTGGTCCCATACACTGGCTTCACCACTTTTTACCAAGTAACCTCTCTGTGTGTCAGAGTTTTGTTTGTAAAATGGGGATAGGGATAGACTCACTACACTTGAATCTGAAGTTGGGTGAAAATGAATAAGCCTAACTATGTGAAGTATCTAGAGTACATATTACATGCTATAATGAGAGTTCCCTATTTTTCTATTCCTATAATCAGGACAGAAACCAGTTAGAAACATAGAGCCTGGGTGGCTCAGTCAGTTGAGCAACCGACTTGGCTCAGGTCATGATCTCACAGTGAGTTTGAGCCCTGTGTTGGGCTCTGTGCTGACAGCTCAGGGCTTTGGATTCTGTCTCCTCTGCCTCTCCCTGGCTCGTGCTCTCTCTCTCTCTCAAAAATAAATAAACATTAAAAAAATTAAAACAAACAAACAAACAAAATCCCACCTCTCTCAACAAAGACAAAGAAAAGCTTGGGACCAGATAGCTTCATTGGTGAATTCTACCACATGTTTAAGTGTCAGGAGCACTGCTGAGCTGCCAGGCATCAAGCTTAAAGTAACAAGCCCAACCGTATATCTGATAAGGGATTAATATCCAGACTATATAAACAACCCTCACAACAACAACAACAAAATAGGTGACTAAAAAATGGCCAAAGGACTTAAAACAGATATTTCTCCAAAGAAGATACACAGATGGCCGATAAGCACATGAAAAGGTGCTCGACATCACCAATCATTAGTGAAATGCAGATCGAAAACACAAGACACCACTTCACACCCATTCAGATGGCCACCCTCAACAAAACAGAAAACAGAAAAAACAAGTGTTGGCAAGGATATGGAGAAGTTATTAGTGTGAATGTAAAATGGGACCGTTGCTGTTTCCACATGGTGGAATCATCATGGTGATGATTCCTCAGAAAATGAAACAACTGCTGTGTGATTCAGCAATGTCACTTCTGGATATGTACCCAAAATAGGCAAAAACAGAGACTTGAACAGACGATTTGCATACTTATATTCATAGCAGGCATTGTTCACAATAGTCAAAAGGTGGAAGCATCCTAAATGTGCATCAAGGGAAGAATGGCTAAACAAAGTGGTAAATACATACAGTGGCATGTTATTCAGCCTTAAAATGGAAGGACATTCTATCACCTGTTCCAACATGGATAAGCCTTGAAGACATTGTGCTAAGTGAAATAAGGCAGTCACAATGGGCCGCTTATTGTATGCATTCCTGTATATGAAATATCCACAGTGGGCAAATCCACAGAGAGAAGGCAGATTAATGGTTGCCAGGGCCTGGGGTGAAGGATGAGTGGGGAGTGACTGCTTCAGGGATGCAGGGTTTTTCCCCTCAGGTGAGGAAAATGTTCTTGAAGTGGATACTGGTGATGGCTGGACAACATTGTGAATGCACTAAATACCACAAAATTGTACGCTTAAAAAATAGTTAAAATAGCTAATTTTATCATATATAGATCTTATCACAATGACAAATCATACTAGTAACCTAAACAGAAATTCTACAAATGATATATATTTTTTTTCATTAGTACATGTTGAAATAAACACAAAATCATTAAAACATAAACACCAATTAGAATGCCATCTGAAATAGTCTCACAAACCCTCCACTGGTACACTTTAAGAAACATCGGTATAGGAGTGAAATCGGACACCACTGAGTAGAAACTCTGGCTCATGTCCCAGCTCTGTCACTTACTGTCTGTGTGATCTTAATGTTTCTAAATCTAAGGTTCATTATAGCAAAATTAGTGTGTTATGAGTACCTGCTTCATAGGTGTCTTTTGAGGGTTTTTAAAATAATTAAATAAATTTGCATAATAATCTGAATTTTTAAAAATTTATGTATTTATTTTGAGAGAGACAGAGACAGCATGAATGGGGGAGGGCGTGGGGAAAGAATCCTAAGCAGGCTCCATAGGGTCAGCGCAGAGCCTGACGCAGGGCTCAAACCCATGAAGCTGTAAGATCCTGCCTGACCTGAGCCGAAACCAAGAGTGGGATGCTTAACTGACTGAGCCCCCCAGGCGCCCCATAATTTACATAATAATTTTAGAAGCCAGGCTTACACTTAATAAGCATTTAGGAAGTGATAGCTACTTTATCATTATTATCATTATTATTTTCCTTATCAGTGACAACCCACTGTTTGTCAATGGACCTAGGAGGAGGGTTGTAATTATGCATTTTCTAGAACTTTTGCCCCTTCAAAATTCTGCCCACTGGAACACAAAATGGAAATTTGCAAGTCAATATCAATTTTTTAAAAATCTGTTGATATTAAGGGTTATTTAATTCAAGATTCAGTTTGGACAGCATAGAAATTCCCGCATTAGGCTACACAACTGCGGTCCAGCCCCACGTACAGGAAGGTATCTGCAGACCACTGGCTTCCCCAGGGGAGAGGTAATCTGCTAATCTTAAATGCAGTCATCCTGAAAAGTCCTGACATAGGAGCCCAGCAGCCACAGATAGTGCGACCAGAAGTCTACAGAGGAGGGCCTTGCTCCCTAGACAATGAGCTCCCCCTACCGCATGCCCGCAGTACTTTCCTCAAGACATCCGGGAGAGTCTGGGGCTGGGGCTCACATGGCTGTGGGGGGTCCTTTTCCCCCATGGTGAGGAGCCAGCAGAAAGCAGTGTCCCTTTCCAGTCAAACTGTCCATTCCCTCCCTTGGTCAGAGAGAAGGGAGTTTGGAAGAGAATTTCAGAGACTGGGATCGTTTTCTCCCTTCCTACAAAACTCTTTTCCTGCAGTGTCCCTTTCCAGACAAACTGTCCATTCCCTCCCTTGGTCAGAGAGAAGGGAGTTTGGAAGAGAATTTCAGAGACTGGGATCATTTTCTCCTTCCTACAAAACTCTTTTCCTGCATCTCTCTGCTTCTATGGGCTTTATTATGAGGTAAGCTTCCTCAGGGTGATGAAAAAGAAAAAAGGAAAGAAGAGAAAAAGAAAAAGCCCAAATTAATGAACACTCAGTCTCCAAGCAGATGCTTACCTGGAAGAGTAAGGAAATTCGACATCACTGAAATCAAGTCTTTTGAGATAGTATTGATTACCATGGTTTTCCAGAACTTTAGCCTGACAGACAGAGAAGCAGAGAAGTCCTTACCTCATGGTTGCCAATTCTGTTTTGCAGGACTTGTTCAGCTGTGGGCTCCTCTGAGATCCAGCCAGGAGACGGGGGTTTCAGGATGTGAGCCCCACCACAAGGTTAAATAAGAAGGATAAACAGTTCATGATGTAACCTGTGGGTGTGTTGTTGCCAAGTTAGACTGGAAACCGAGATGAAAACTGAAAGTGGAAAGTGAAACTAGTGAGCAGAGTTCCTGCTTGGGGAAAATGAAACTGAGAAGAGGCTGGGGGGCGGGGGGGGGGTGGACGTGGTGGTTATCGGGGAAGCAGACTCACTGATGTGCTAATTCTTCTCTCAGGCTCTGCCTGGCCTTGTGTAGAGCTGGGAGTGTGGCAATGCCGGACCCTAGAGCCTGGAGAAGCTGGCTTCGGGAACTTGCCACACTCATGTCCCACATCTGTGCCTCTGTTTGCTTATCTGGAAACAGAAAACATCCCTTTCATGGCATAAAATTCTGCAGCTCTCCAAGCTTGAGTCTTACTTAACCCAAATATGCTGCTGTTGTCTGAGAGGCTGTGTTTTACCAGTTCTTCTCTGCCTTTGATTTTTGCATACCCTTCCTGAGAATGGCCAATGACAGTAAGAGCCTGTACCCTCTTCCTTGTTCGTTGGAACAGAAAAAGTGTATGTGCTAGCATCTTGAGACTTCAGACAGAACACGTTATGCCTTAATGATGGTATTTTTAATGCCCTCTATGGTAGTCATCTAAAATGTCCTTACTCAGCAGATATGACTCTCATAGCTGCTCAGGAGACTGTCCAGTTCTGGGGGTGCCCATGGCACCAGGCTTGGCATCCCTCGTCCTGGCCCACGTCACTGTCTATGCTCAGGGTGTCTGTGATAACAGGGCGATGAGAACAGTGCTAAAACTGGGGGTTAGGCTCCTGTTAGTGGTGTCTGCCAAGTCCCTGTTTCTTCCCACTTTTCACTGGAAATTGTCCCACCCTCCTGATACATGTCATAGAGTGAGGGTTCTCCAGCTGCTTTCGCAAAGCAAGTTTATCCCCAACCACAGTTAATTTAGTCCTAGAAAGGCTCCCTGTTGAGATGAATGTGAACAGCGAGTCCTGAAATGGAGAATTGCTAGGGGTCCCAATATGGAGCTGGGAGATCTTTAAGAAAATGGGAGTTTGGCATGTCCACCCCCGAGTGGAGACTTGTAGTAGACTCTAAGTCTAAAGTTCTTTCTCGTCCAGCAAGAAAGTGGATGCAGGATTAAAGTACGAGAGATGGCTAATGTCCAGGAAAAGACAGGAGCCCCAAATAAAGGTCCTTGCTCCATATTTATTAAGATCAGAAGGCTTACAAATGTGGTGGGCTTGCACAAAGAGACAATGAACCTGTGAACATTAACTCATGGGCATGAGGGAAAGGAGGTTTTGAAGATACATGGTGTTTGGGGTTTGGGTCAATATGAAACAAAATTCTGACCCCAGGCAGATGGGCAGATGGTTGTTAAAGGCAAACATGAGGCAACATCTGTTTAATTTAGTTAGCCTAGGGGAAAAGACACAGCAAGTAACCTCAGGGTTAACAAGGCACCTTTCTTTTGCTAATCAGCTCCGCTGTGGACAGCTTCACCCACAGCAGTCTATAGCCCTATTTACATGTTTACCTAATTTGGTCCTTCCTTCCTGTGAAAGCAGCTTTCTGCTATAGTACTAAACTGGGGGGCGTTTTCACCCTGAAAACCTAATCTTAACTCATATACCTTGTATTAGGAGCTTTGCCCCCCTCTCTATTCTGGGGGCCTTGGCCCCACCTTCTTTATACTGCGGCCTTGGCCTAGCCCTCTCTATGCTTATTTACCTAATCTTGTTTACCCATACTTGGGTGTGAGCATCCTATGGCTTTGTAATTCTTTATGCCTTGTTAACCCATCAGTGCAAGCCCAGGGAGCTCCTAAACTTATTCCCCAAAGAGCTGGAACTCTCAAACCTGGGCCTTAACCACAGAACCATGGGCTGGAACATTTCTATGTATCAGGTAGTCAGCTCACATGTCGTCAAAATCAATAATTATTCTTTCAAAACAACTTGTGGTTTTTGCCTTTAGAAACTCCTAATTTCTTCCCCCAGTCATTTGATCCCTCTCGAAAATATCTTCCAAGCTGCAATCCCCAAGACTCGAAATAAATGCATTGCTTTTTTTTTTTACAGCCTGAGTCTGAGATCTGTTGACATTCTGTGGTGTCAGAGAAGTGAGATCCAGAGTGACTGCCTTCTGTTCCAAGCCACAGTGGGCACATGTGAGGTAACTGCAGGACACCATTGTTCTCCACCGTGTCCCTTGGCAACCTTGTTCTTGGTGGTAAGTCCTCCTGGGCCCAAACCTCCGATTTTGGTGGAGGTTGAGACCCTTGTTTGGGTGTCCTCTGCTGCTGCTGGTTTCTGTCTTCTCTTATTTCTGAAGGGAGGATTCTGTTTTCACTCTTTTTGAATAGAAGATTCGGTTTTAGCTTCTTGATGAGTACTTTGTTTAGGGAAATCATTCTTCTATGGGGACTCCTGATAACCAGCCCCCTGCTGGAGCTCCTGCAGGATTTATGTTTAAGGAACATGGCCCTTCTTGCTGTAAAAATGTTTGCCCTTTTAAGACTCACATTCCCCGGGGTGATTTAAAACCTCATCGACCAACATGGGGCACTTTTGAGAGCCCATACTTAGGTTACTTGCATGCACAACTGGAAAGGGGTTATAAAACCAAACAAAATGAGTGGAGAGCTTATTTTAAAACTGGAGATTCCAAAAGAAACACTGGAAAGGTTGCTTCCCTTCAGGCACTAAGTCTACATTCCCGGCAGCTAATTCAGACCCTTCTAAGAGGCTCTCAAATTTAGAAGAATCAGTGATGCCTCTCAACACCTTGCTCCTCTTCCTCTGTTCTGCACCCACCCCTGCTGCTCCCACCCCTTCCCCACCCCTTCTTCCCACCCTCTCTCTCCCACTCTCCATGTACACATCCTAGATGAGCTGGACGGCCCTTCCGTAATGACTATCCGGAGCTTCGTGTAGATCCTGCAAGCATCCAGGCTCCTTTCCCAGTTAGATCTAAGGAAGGAGGCCCTGAGACTTCAGTTCCTTATGCTCCTTGGACTAAGGCAGAACTGTGAGCCATTACCAAGGACTTTCTGGATGCCTTTGAATACCCTCTAGGATTCGCTAAAGAATTCCATGTAGTTAATTAGACCTAGGAGCCTGGTTATTCTGATCTTTATCAACTTGTCCACATGCATTTAAGTGAGGATCAGGCGAGGGAATGGATTTAAAAAGTAGGTCACACAAAGCCTTTTGATAATTTTTCTAAGTGAAAAGCTGTAGACAAAACAGAAGCTTTTTAAGCTAGCTAAAAATCTACATAAAACTACTCCTGAGATTTTTTTCCAGAGAGTATAGACTGGGAAAAAAAATCAACAATGTACTCAATGGCCATATAAATCTTTTTTAAAAAAATTATTGTGATAGAGTAAACAAACAAAAATTTACACAGGAAATTTCTTTTTATTTACCTCTACCCTTGTTACTTAAAAGACAAAATTGGCTCTAATAGCCTAAGAGCCCTCTCCACTCTAAGGAGAAGAATGCTCATATGACAGAATAGGGCAGCTCCAGGGATAAGGGACCCCTTCCTTCTACCCAGCACCTTAGGGGGAATAGATCTTGTTATTGGGAATGAGGCGACATGAGCTCTTACAGATACAGGAGCAACACTGGCAGTTCTGAACCCCACAAGCCTCCCCTTCCCTGACTTTGGACTCAGGAACACTGCACATGACAGGGATGTCTAATACCGCATGACACTTTGTAGATCCTTACCTGTCCCCTTTCAGCTGGAGTCCTTCCAGGGCACACACCCATTCCTTCTGGTCCCTACAGCTTCTATTTACTGGTTAGGTTACAGTGACTTTCTTGACATTTATCAGGCACACAATTTCTTCTCGCAAAAGGGGAACATGTTTTTGCAAACAGCAGAACAACCACACATAGAAAATTCAACTTCGCTTCTGGATTGTGAAATTTCTTTGTATAGTTTCTAGGGCAAGACTAAAGGGCCTTAGAGCAAGTGTCCCCAAAATATGCCGCTTTGGCACGTGGACTGTTTTGAGCTGAAGGCGATCGAGCCCCTGTGGGCTCAAGAGAAATAACTGTTACCTTCCTGCTTGTCTCACTCCGTATGCCTGCCCAGGACATGCACGTTGTCAGTTCCTCTTTTGGCCATTTCTGGGAGTGACTCTGGATCTTAGGAAGTTGATATCCTTTGCATCCTCTCTGAGGATCTATCTTATACCCAGGGGGTGGTTATTTAGCATTGCCAGAAACATTTACTGTTTGTCCCGGCTGGAAGTGGACAAGAACGTTTTAAGTAGCTCTGAAGTCAAAAGCTGGCCAGATTGGGAGCTGATGTTCAGAGCCTGCTAGGAAGTTTGTGTGTGTGTGTGTGTGTGTGTGTGTGTGTGTGTGTGTGTGTGTTTTAAGGCCTTCTGTCCTAAGTTACAGTTAGAACTGCATACCCAAGGGGAAAGAAGCAAACTGAGGATAATGTAACTCCATAGGTGGGTCAACTTATGATGCCATTTAAGTCACAACCCAATTCTTTGAGGAACTGAGTGCAACTGTGCTTTTGTAAACCGATGAGTTCTGCATTATCATACCCATCTCTGAACAAGAGCTCTTAGGTCTCTGCTTGCATTTGTCTGCCTTGTAGACATGTGGTCTTTTCTACCTCTGGATGAAATTGCCAGAATGAATGTGTAGAAGAGCTCTGTTTAATTGGCTTAAAGACTATTAAGTGCTTACATATATGTAGTATTCATAATAATTCTCAAAAATATAATAGCAATTAATCCGAATAAGTTGCAAGGTCATATGGCCTAGGATTCATCTTTAATCAAGAAAAGCTAATTGTGGTTTATTGGTTTAATTAAAAGCAGGCACATTTTCAGAGTAGCCAGCATTAGATGAAATGCGGGTAAGCAACATTCTCTACCTGGATTTACTAAGGTCATATTATCTCTGTTACATAATTTGTCAGCAAGAAAGGTAATTTAAAGGTGGTGGTTAGTTGTTTAATGTCTTGTGAAATGTTATTGACTAATCTAAACATAATTATTAAGAACAAGTGAATTAAATAGATGTGAGTAAGATAATATTTATAAACTAGATTTCCAACAATATTAATGTCTTCAGAAATAATGTCCCCAAATCTTTTTGATAACTGAAAATCCTAGAGTTTTGCTAAGTTAAATTAGATGATGGATAGTCATTAAATATTTAGATCATTTCCAAATAAGATAAGATAATACACTGAGACAGATGCTGATTGCTAAGTATAAGTTTATTTGCTTTTGGTTTTTAATTTTTACAGAAAAACTATATATATATTTTTTTTTCTTCTGGTTTTTAATTTTTAGAGAGAGATATATATATTAGAATATTTAGGTCTATTAATAAATAAGTGTTACAAAAATAATTAAAATTACTGTAAGGGGGACTATACTTCTAGAAAGTTTATAAATTTGCCAGGCCATCAGGCGCCTGGGTGTCTCAGGTGGTTAAGCATCTGACTTCAGCTCAGGTCACGATCTCATGGTTTGTGAGTTTGAGCCCCATGTCAGGCTCTGTGCTGACAGTTTGGAGCCTGGAGCCTGCTTTGGATTCTGTGTCTCCCTCTCTCTCTCTGCCCCTCCCCTGTTCATGCTCTGTCTCTCTCTTTCTTTCAAGAATAAATAAACATTAAAAAATTAATTTCTCCTCTTTTTAGCTGGTTACCTATTGGACATTGGAACCCTCTTATGCTTGGGATTACAAATTGTGCTGTTAATCATGGTCTTAATTTGTGCCCTATTCACCGTCTTCAGACTATTTGTGTCATGCATTTCTTATTTCTTTTTGCTGTTTCTTCCCAAAATGTTGTGATGATAGCTCAGAGACTAGAAATGATTGACCAAACCTTCCCTCTTGACATCTTTCCTCAACTGACAGATAAATATGGCTGAGGATGATGCCCAAGATCCACTTCCCTGAACCTCCCTGTTGCTCAAATGTAGCCGTTGTCCTTAGGTCAACAACTCCTGCACACACGTATTTCTCTCCTCTGTGGGACATGACATACCAGAAATGAACCTTCCTGTGATGAAGGACCCAAAACATAAAAATTAATCATCAGTGTTTCCTGAAAATTTATTGATCATCAATGCTTTCTGAAGAAAGATCTTGATCAAAAAGAGGAAATGTGAACAGAGTTACAAAGTGGAGCTAAGGGTTACATAATGGAGCTCCATTAGGGAAATGGAGGGGTTTATTTTGGTTTTGTTTTGAAGCCTCAGCTTGAAATTTCTTAAGAGGAACTTTGGCCACAGCAACTTTTTACTTGACATGTCACTGGAGGCAAGGGAAGCAAAAGCAAAAATGAACTATTGGGACTTCACCAAGATAAAACCTCCTGCACGGCGAAGGAAACAATCAGCAAAACTAAAAGGCAACCAATGGAATGGGAGAAGATATTTGCAAATGACATATCAGATAAAGGGTTAGTATCCAAAATCTATAAAGAACTTATCAAACTCAACACCTGAAAATCAAATAATCCGTCCAGCAAAGAAATGGGCAAAAGACATGAATAGACACTTTTCCAAAGAAGACATCTAGAAGGCTAATAGACACATGAAAAGATACTCAACATCATTCATCATCAGGGAAATACAAATCAAAACCACAGTGAGATACCACCTCACACCGTCAGAGTGGCTAAAATTAACAAATCAGGAAACAATAGATGTTGGCAAGGATGCAGAGAAAGGGGAACCCTTTTGCACTGCTGGTGGGAATGTAAACTGGTATAGCTACTATGGAGAACAGTATGGAGGTTCCTCAAAAAATTAAAAATAGAACTACCCTACAACCCAGCAATTTCACTACTAGGTATTTATCCAAAGTATACAAAAATGCTGATTGCAAGGGGCACATGCACCACAATATTTAGAGCAGCATTATCAACAATAGCCAAATTACGGAAAGAGCTCAAATGTTAAGCAACTGATGAATGGATAAAGAAGGTGTGGTATATATATATATACAATGAAATATCACTCGGTGATCAGAAAGAATGGAATTTTGCCATTTGCAACAACATGGATGGAACTAGATGCTGTTATGCTAAGCGAAACAAGTCAGGCAGAGAGAGATAAATATCATATGATTTCACTCATATGTAGAATTTAAGAAACACAACATATGAACATAGGGGAAGGGAAGGAAAAATCAGATAAAAACAGACCGATGCAAACCATAAGAGACTCTTAAATACACAGA